ATAAAGTAATCTAAACCTTAAAACATTACAGTGAACATGATTATTTGATTTTTCAAATTTATAGAGTTCAAAGGTTGAAATTTTGATCATTCAGGAAGTGCAAGCTGCAAAAAGCTTTAAATCTTCTGTCATCATTCTGATTCTGATTCTGATCATCAACACCTGTCAGAAGCATATTGTGATGTTTTTTTTTTGTTTTTTTTTTGCAAACAACAAATTGTTTCCTCCAGGTTTATCTGAAGGAGGAGGTGTGTTACCAGATGGTCCTCTGAATGCAACTGTTGGAGGGACGGTGATGTTCAGAACCAATATGACTCCAACAGAAACACAGTTTTCATTAGTGAGCTGGAGTTTTAATGGTAGTTCTGTGCCAATAATATCCTCACGGCCTACTTCAAACTCAACTGCACCAGAGTATAAAGACAGAATCACCCTGTTTACATCAACTGGCTCTCTGGAGCTCAGGAATCTGGAACTCAAGGACAGTGGAGAGTATAGAGTTGAACTTTTACCACCAGGTGCCTCTAAAATAACAGGAAAGACTTGGCTGGATGTCTATGGTAAGCAGATCTTCAAATCTTACACTGATTATTTTGTATCTTCAATGTTTTAACACGTGTTTAACAGTGATTCTATAAAGCATTTATATTCAATACTGATAACATATGTTATATCATATAAAAAATATAATATGTTTCAGCACCTTAGACTGAGGAAGTCTTTCGGATGAAAGACGAAACGTTTCTACATTTTTTTTTTGTTTGTTTTGTTTTTTTTGAATGTCCAGAGGACCAGATTTAACTTTTTCAGATAATATGTTTCATTATCAATATGTTCTAGATTTTAAGATTTTACAATAAGCAATGAAAATATCCATCGATCCATTATCTTTTACCCGCTTATTCCATTTTGGGTCACGGGGGTCGCCGGTGCCCATGTCCAGCAATCACTGTGCGAGGGGCGGGGTACACCCTGGACGGGTCGCAAGTCCATCACAGGGCCACAAAGAGACAAACGAGACAAACAACCATTCATTCGCTCAGTCAAATCTAGGGACAATTTAGAGTTACCAATCAGTCTAACATGCATGTTTTTGGTCTGTGGGAGGAAACCGGAGCACCCGGAGAAAACCCACGCATGCACAGAGAGAACATGCAAACTCCACCCAGAAAGGCCCCCAGACCAGGATTTGAACCAGGGACCATCTCGCTGAGAGGCAGCAGATCTACCAGTTGCGCCACCGTGCCGCCCGCAATGAAAACAATTAGTGACAATTTTCTGTACCAGCCGAGTGAGACAGCAGTTATGTCTCTCCTCATAATAATCATCAAATCTGTTAATATGTGATAATATTTTTGCTCATAATGGGACTTTACCAAGGGGGTTAGACTGAATGACTTTGCTTAAAGATTGTAAAGGAGAAATTTTAGTATTATTTAAAGCATAAATTCCACAATTTTAATACAAAGGATAGTCGGTCTGAAAATTCTCATTTACAATATGTTTTAGTCTACTATACAACCATGAATGGGAGGCCAGAGGGGCAATGCACTCTTAAAAAACAGGTGTTCCTCTGAGTGGGAGCCATAGTTCTCAACTAGAAATCGGTAGAATACCCTCTTCAAGTTGGGAGGATCGGGGGGAGGAATTCCTTGCCTCAGGTAGAGGAGTTTTAAAGTATATGGGTGTCTTGTTCATGAGTGATGGTAGGAAGGAGGGAGAGATAGATCAGTCGATTAGAGTTGTGTCCTCATGAAACGGGTATAAGAAATACTTAGATTATTGTAATGAAATTCCTGCTAAAATATGTAATATAGTTGTCCTGTAATGAGTGGTTCAGAGCATAAACATAGTGTGGTCAGCTCCTCTACTGGCACAAATATCTATAAGAAAAGTAACATCAGACATACTTTCTCTTGAACTTTTCTTTTTTGAATAGAACTGAAGTGTACGACTTACCACAGCAGAGCAATGGAAAACTGTGGTAGAATTTCTGTTTCCGGTCATATTTATAGCCTACCAGTAGAGGGCGCCAAAGCCCATTCATTACAGGACAACATATTTTAGCAGGAATGCCAATACAATAATCTAAGTATTTCTTGTACTCGTTACACTCATAAACGAGGGCACTACTTTGTTGTGGGGAAGAGAGAGTTAAATTGAAAGGCAAAGCTCTCAGTTTACTGGCTCGACATTCCAATTTTTACCTGACCAAAAGAGAGATCCCGGATAAAAAATGCCCGAAACGAGCTTCCTTTGTAGGGGTGGCCAGGCTCAACCTTAGAGATAGGATGAGGAGCTCCATCATTCGGGGAGAAGTCAGAGTAGAGCCGCTTCTGCTTCACACTAAAAGGAATCAATTGAGGTGGTTCGAGCATCTGATTAGGATGCCTCATGGTCGCCTCCCTTTCGAGGTTTTGCAGGCATGTCCCTGGCAAGAGACGATGCAGGAAACCCAAAACTCATTGGAGGGAGTGTGTAGTCTTCTCTGGGCTAGAAATGCCAGACAGACTATACTGACTGACTATAATGATATTTTGTTTTCCTCCCACAGCACCAGTCTCCAATGTAAGAGTAACTCCACCAACAGCAGACCTGGTTGAGTTCAACAGTTCTGCCCGTCTGTCCTGCTCCTCCTCTGGATCTTCTCTCTCCTTCCTCTGGATGAACAGCAGCTCTGAGCTTACAGACAGTGACAGAGTTCAGATCACTGATGGAGGATCCACTCTGATTATAATCAGTGTGACCCGATATGACCAGGGACCATACAGCTGTCGTGTGTCTAATCCTGTCAGTGCTGAAACCAGTAAACCAGTAAACCTCGCCATTAGTTGTGAGTTTTTAACCACCATGTTATTTCTTTATTGTTGATTTTGCAAAAGTATGTTTAGATTATTGTCACATCTTTCTGAAAATCTTTAATTTGTGCATGGATAATCCAGACAACATTTTAAGTATAAGTATTCTTTTTTTTTTGTAAAATATGATATAGAAGAGAAAAGAATAGTTTCTTTGTAAAATCTAAAATCTGCAACAAAATTATAAAGCCTCATTTGATTCATCCATACAAGTACAACAAAAAATGTATTATTACCACAGAAAAAACTAAATATAACAGCTTTAATTTTTATTTATACATTTGACAAATTTCAAAATGCATTTTTACATAACATACTTCACATACAGCAACAAACCTGCTTACTTTATAGATTTTATTAAAACAATAAGCATAATACAAACAAAATTGTCAAATTATTCTTGTATGTTTTCAGCCCACTTACTTGCTTTCTGTCCACTCAGACGGCCCAGAATATATACAGCTGCACGTGTCTCCATCAGACGTTCACTATGAAGAAGGATCAGACATCACTCTGAGCTGCTCAGCTGAGTCTGAACCTTCTGCTGATTTTAAATGGCTTCTGGATGGAGACCTGCTGCCTGATTCTGGACCTGAACTCAGACTGATGAACGTTCAGATGAGTCAGAGTGGAAACTACAGCTGTCAGGCCTTTAACAGCAAAACTCTGAGATATCAAACATCTCAACCTTTATCAGTGTTTGTTCTTGGTAAGTCTGAACAATTCTCTTTGCATGAAAATATTCAGTTTCAGAGTTGCCTGCATACCGCCATTCAGTGATTCTTAACAGGTGGGTTTCAGACCTGATTTCAGTGGGTTGAAGGCCTTTTGGCTGGTGGCATATACTAATATCTCCTCACTGAATGAAAAATCTATAAAACTGAGAAGTGAAATTTTTTCTTTGATTTGTGTCACAACTTGATGTTATGGTTCTGATGCCAGAACAGTTTTCACTGCTACAGTGATTCAGAAAAAAAACTGTTAACCAGCCTAAGCCTTAAATTACATTTAGGAGGCTTTTTTTTCTTATTTTTATTTGTTATGATGAACAAAGCTGTCTGACAGCATCTCACATTTTGACAAAGCATTGTGTTGGGTAAATATCATTTTGCCATTCAGTGACTCCATGTGTTTTAGTAATTTGCTTTAAATAGCACTGTTCTTTTTGTCTAAAGAGACAACTAGATTATATCATGGCAGCCAAATACTCTCCACAGTTTTATCAAGTCACTAGATGACACCATTGAAGGCACCAGTCATTAAAATGTGGTTTTCCCTATATTTTGGCCAAAAATGCAGCTCCCTTGCTGATAAGGAAAAAAAAATCAAATATGATCTAATCAATATACTAATATGTAAAATGTTACTTGAGTTTGATTTGATGACTATTGGGGCCTCTCCTTATCATGACCTCTGACCCAGCGGTCACCATTCATATCCACCCTTAACTGGTTTCAGGGTAGAAAAAAAAACAGATTCATAAAGTTGAGTTTGTTTTATTTATTATGACATATTTTGAACATGGCATAATCCATCCATCCATCCATTATCTTTTACTAGCTTCTTCCATTTTGGGTCACGGGGGTTGCCGGTGCCCATGTCCAGCAATCACTGTGCGAGGGGCGGGGTACACCCTGGACGGGTCGCAAGTCCATCACAGGGACACACGGAGACAAACGAGACAAACAACCATTCACTCTCTCACTCACACATAGGGACAATTTAGAGTTACCAATCAGCCTAACATGCATGTTTTGGGTCTGTGGGAGGAAACCGGAGCACCCGGAGAAAACCCACGCATGCACGGAGAGAACATGCAAACTCCACCCAGAAAGGCCCCTGACCTGGATTTTGAACCAGGGACCTGCTCGCTGAGAGGCAGCAGCTCTACCAGTTGCACCACCGTGCTGCCCTATATTTTTATCATCAAATTTATTAATATGTTTTATCATCAAATTTATTAATATATTTTTATCATCAATTTTATTAATATATTTTGTCATCAAAAGCTTAAGAAATCTGTAAGTACTGATCAAACTGTAAGTGATTAATTGTCCAGGATAATGAATGAATAGAAATAATCAGTTTGTATTCAGGTCATGAGTAACTTTAAAGGAATCCACTGCAGGGTGGTTATGAAAGGTGACCTCTGGGTCAGAGGTCATGGTCAGGGTAACCATGACTCTTAAAACTCAAAGAATAGAGCTTTTTCAATGAAGCTCCAACCATTGATTACATCTTAAAGTACAAATGTTAAACTCCACCTACATTTTTTTATTCAGTTTTTATTCCTATAATTTGTGTTGCATTGATTGCTACAATAATAACACAGACTTTAAAAAAAAAATCCACAAAATATTTAAAAATTACTGTTCAATTGAATACAACCAATCATATTATTTGTCATTAACAGCACGAGTCTCCAATGTAAGAGTAACTCCACCAACAGCAGACCTGGTTGAGTTCAACAGTTCTGTCCGTCTGTCCTGCTCCTCCTCTGGATCTTCTCTCTCCTTCCTCTGGATGAACAGCAGCTCTGAGCTTACAGACAGTGACAGAGTTCAGATCACTGATGGAGGATCCACTCTGACTATAATCAGTGTGACCCGATATGACCAGGGATCATACAGCTGTCGTGTGTCTAATCCTATCAGTGCTGAAACCAGTCAACCAGTAAACCTCTCCATTAGTTGTGAGTTGTTAACCACATGTTCGTTTTTAAAATTAAACAGGCATGCAAAAATCTAAGTTGAGATTTTTGGCATATTTTTTAGATGTTTTCATAATTTTGTTGATAATGTAAACAATATTTTTAGGAATAAATCTGTACAACAAAATTTTAAAGCACCATTTGATTCATAAAACAAATAAAATTGTGCTTTTTCTCCATGTGTGTTTCTGTCCACTCAGACGGACCAGAACCTGTACAAACAAATGTGTCTCCATCAAAAGTTCACTATGAAGAAGGATCAGACATCGCTCTGAGCTGCTCAGCTGAGTCTAAACCTTCTGCTGATTTAAAATGGCTTCTTGATGGAGACCTGCTGCCTGATTCTGGACCTGAACTCAGACTGATGAACGTTCAGACGAGTCAGAGTGGAAACTACACCTGTCAGGCCTTTAACAGCAAAACTCTGAGATATCAAACATCTCAACCTTCTGCTGTCTCTGTGCTTGGTAAGTGTGAAACAAACATTTTTTTAGAATTTAGATAATACAAAAGTCTATACAGAGTCTTGAAATTTTTCATCTCCTAAATGTAAAATGTAAACACAGTGAGGGGAGAGCGAGAAATGATGAATGCACCTGAGATAACACTGATTGGGAAGTGGATGATTAGGCTGGAGAGAGTGAGAGAGAAATGATAGAAAACACAGAGTGAAAACATCAGGAACAGAATGAGAAATAAGAGAAACAGAATGAAAAATAAAGTCCCAACAACACAAAGGGAGCAGACAGAGGGACATATGTCAGTCAGAATGTCCCATACTTGTCTGATCCATAATTCAATTAGAGATAATAAAATATAAAGTGAAAATTATTAAAACGTTAAGTGCATCATCGTCAGTGAAATATATGTATTATATTATTCTAGATTTAGTTTGTTTTTTGATTTATATCTGTAAACTGGGCCACAATAAATAATCAGTTACACACAACTGTGTGTAATTAAACATAATGAATTTTCCCAGTTTCTCCCTACAAACCAGTACTTATTGTCTTTTGCCCTGACATGTGAAAACACGTCTGTGTTTGATCCGCAGCACGGATCTCCAACGTTGTGGTCAGATCAAACCCCACAGACCTGGTGGAGTTCAGCAGCTCTGTCAGTCTCTTCTGCTCTTCATCTGGATCCTCTCCCTCTTTCTTGTGGATGAATGGCAGCTCTGAGGTCAGCGACAGTGACAGAGTTCAGATCACTGAGCAACACTCCACTCTGACTTTAATTATTGTGACCAGATACGACCGGGGACCATACAGGTGTCATGTGTCCAATTACTTCAGTACTGCCATCAGTGATCCATTACACCTCCTGATCAGCTGTGAGTTTCTGGCTTGTGTTGTTGTCCTATTTATTTTTTACCTCATTCATCCAGCACTTTAGCTTTCAGCTCTGAAGCTCTAATGTGGCTGTATGAAACCTTTAAATTGTATTGCTGCCATTGTCATATTTTTTTGTTATTTTTAACTACATATTATTCAGATGGACCAGAACAAATTAAACTAACAGTCTTACCACCTCGAGAATACTTTGAGGAAGGCTCAGACGTCCACCTGTCCTGCTCAGTTGACTCCAGACCTGCTGCCACGTTTCAGTGGTTTCTGAATGGAGATCTTCTGCCTCAGTCTGGATCAGAACTCAATCTGAAGAATGTTGACATGAGCCAAAGTGGAAACTACAGCTGTCAGGCCTTTAACAGCAAAACTCTAAAGAGTCAACACTCTCAGCCTGTAGTCGTCCGAATAGTGGGTACGTATGTGTAAAAGTTTTGTTACAACTATAGCTTGAGCCACATTTCTGTTATCTAGAGAACAATATGGTAGGATGTCAAAAACAGAAATGTTTGAGGGAATCGGGTTTGGCAGAAAAGCAAAACCAGAATCAGAATTAGAATTTTCATTTACCCTTTATATATACAGGTAGTCTCATTGAGCCACGAGAACTCATTTTCAAGAGAGACCTGTTTGGGAGCAGATGATGGGGGTTGGGGGTCTTGCTCAGGGGCCCAGGGTGGGGAGAGGTGTGGGTGTTTCACCTTTTCCACCCACATTTTGATGTTGATGGTGCCGGGAGGTGAACCTGCGACTTTCTGATCACAAGCCCATCTTCTAACCTCTGCGCCACCACTCACCCCATGCTTTTATTATCATTGCACAATGAAGTACAGCGACATTACTCTCTGTACAGCTGTCCTAAAGATGGACAGAAGTGTACAGGAGGCTGAAGCTTCTAAGATGTGCTGCTCTTCTTGCTTAAATAAGAAAAATGAAGAAAATATAAGGAGAGAGGTATAAAAAGATCTCTCACACCGTGTCCTTGACAGGGCACGGTTTGAGGCATCAAAAAAATCTGCCACAGCAAAGCAACATAAATAGACAATACGTATGCGTGTGGAGTGGGTAGGGGGTGGGGGTCCCAGCATGGCCACCAGGTGAGTGGCGCAGCCCTTGGCACCTTCACATCTCCTAGGTTGCTGTGCCAGGGGAGGTGAGGGAGGCCAGTGGAGGCATTGAGTTTGAGGGAAGGTCGTAGCACAGCACAATCCAGAGCCCTCACCCCAGCCATAGTCCTGAAAAGACGTGTTTGTTTATCAGCCAGCTCAGTTGAGCTCTGTCACAGGTCCATGACCTTGGGGACGGGAGTGGGTGGGGAGGGGGACAAAGCGCCCTTGTTTCCATAACAACCCAGGAGAAACGGAGATGTCTGCCTTCCAAGGCCAGGTCCAGATTCAGATAAAAATAAGTATTTTGGGTCAGGCTGAATTCATAAATCTCTGTGTCTGCCTTAACAGTAGCACTAGTGCATTCTCTCATGGCGACTCCAAACAGCCAAATTTGATTACTTACACCAAGTTGAGCTGACAGCTTCTCCAAGATTTCTTGATTCCTTTCAACCATTCGTGGACACTGTCAGAAAGTTCCTCAGTCCCAATAAGGATCAGTCTGCTCAACTTGATACAGCACCACATATAGTTCGCACTTAGTCTGAGTGCTGCCAAGCTCGGCACATTCTCCACATAATTTGGTGACAATCCAGATTTCCACCAATTCCAAGCAGTAAAATCCATTTATCATAGATCCAATAATGTTTTCGTCGAGGTAAGAGGGTTCTCCTTCACCATGGCTACCTGTTGAGAAAAAATGTTCAATTTTGTTGAGAGACCAGCTGATCAAATCTATCTTTAACAATTCAGAAGGTATGCTAAAGAAGGGGCTCTGAAAAAGATTCACAAGACAAAAGAGCAAAGCAGGAATGAAGCGAGGGACGGAGCAGAGGAGGACGCGTCTGCTTTCCACCGAGAGCAAGCAAGAAAAATAAAAATAAGCATGTGATACTATTACAGGACATAAACAAGATCAGCAAGTCAATGGGCATATAAGGAAAATCAGAAATTTGTAATTCAAAACTCTCTTTCTCAGCTAAATTTTATTTAATGTGCATTATTTGTTGAGATCTTTTTTTTTTTTTTTTTGTAATACAACTATCTAGCCTTATGGTTCTTACCCTTTTCTATCTAAAAGTATTTTGATAAAGAATAAGGGGGTGTGCTTTTTAGCAGCAGCAACGTGCACTCTGTTCATTGTTCGAACGACTGTACGAACATAATCTCACTGTATTTTGGTAAATGATAATAAAGCTTATTCTGATTCTGATTATTTCATATGTTAGAACAGAATTTATATATTTGTTTTTAAATTTAAAAAAATAACATGTTTAAGAAAAAATCAGTTTCCTTTTCACAAGAGTTCAGTTAAAACTCAGTGGCTAAAAACTTCACATAAATAATTAAAAAGACACTAAATGGGTGAAGTTTCCAAATGTCATAACACCTGCTTCTTCTTGGTTCAGCTTATCTAACCTAAAATATAAATTATGAATTGCTCACTTTTCTGTTTTATTCTTGATTCTGCAGAACCAAGAGGTCTCTCAAGTGATGTCATTGCTGCAATAGTTATTACATGTTTGAAAGTTGTTGGTGCAGGAGCTGCAGGAGGCTTTTTAATTTACAAAGGAAAGTAAGTGTTCTCATGCTGCTTGTCATGAAGTGAGCTTGTTTGCTTTTGAGACTAAATTACAACATTCATCACTGTGAACTGTAAAACGTGTCAGTCACTGTGTCAGTCATTTGTTTAAATTTGTTAATATCTTGTACTTTGGTCAAATTTTTGTTTTTAAAAAAATTAACCTTGTCCTTGCTTTAATGCCTTTTTTTTTTAATTATTATTTAGTGATCTTAAAATATACAGATGCAGCACTGTTAATGAGTTGGTTGATCTTTGTGTGTGTGTGTGTGTGTGTGTGTGTGTGTGTGTGTGTGTGTGCATTTTTTTTTTTAGAGATAATTTCAAAGCTCAACAACCTTCAGGCAATAAAGGTTTGTATAAAGATTGTTCTGTGCACATTATATAGACCAGCACTGACTGACTAAGGAGAGAAAAAGGACTTCTGCCATTATTTTATAATTTCATGCTTCTCAGGTGAAAAATAACAACAGTAAAAATGTTTGGTTGTTTGAAAGCAAAAGTTTAAAAGTTATGATGTTTGAAACACATTTCTTTTAGATTTCAGGAATGACACTGGTGTCAATGCTCTGGAGATGGAACCTCAAAGTAAGTTGAAACATTTTTAATAAATTACTTTTAATTGTACTGGAAAAAGAATGAGCAGCCCATTGAAATATTTTAATTATAACATTTTATGTGAATACTTGAAAACAGAACAAAAGAAAAAGTGTGTGTGTGTGTTTTAATCCTAGAAGAACATGTGTATGAAGACATGAACAAAGACAAAGACAATGTTTATGACAAGACAATATAAAAGTAAAAGTTTATTTTCCTCAGAGGTGAGTACCAACGTTTTTATATTCAGTTTAAATTTTTCAATGTTGGAGCGATCCAACACAATTTTTCATTTCTTCCTTTTGAAAGTGTGTACTTATATATATTAAAAAAATGTTCACATGTGGATCAATATTTATTAACGGATGATTTCAGCAAAAAGTTTATCATTAAGTTAATTGGTTTGTTTGTTTTTTTATCTTTCTTGGTCAGAAACGAAGAAATCCATAAAATGCTAAACTATTCAGAAGAGGAGGAAACAATTATTAATTCAATTAACAATAAGGTTTTATTTAATTGTGTTGTATTGTATATGGTTTTATTAAACATTGTTTTGAAGGCTCACAGTCACAAAGCTTTTATTAGAGTTTAATCTTATATGTCACTTTGCAGACAGCTCTTTGTGCAACTCATGAGTTATATATGACACGTCAGACCAACACTGATTTTATTTGTCAATTTAACATTTTAATTAAAGCAGAAAATCAAGAATAAAAAAAGGACCTTTTTTTGTTTGACTTGTCATGAAACAAAAACAAAAGTTGTTGTTGGACATGTTTATTGTATGTTTTCATTCTGTAAACAAAAACAAAAAACAAAAGCATTTTGTTTGTGATTTTCAAGTCTTTTTTTTTATTTAATTTATTTTTTTGTTTTTATGAATGCCGATTATAACTTGATGTTATGTTGATATCATCATTGCTGTAATTGTAATGGCTTGTTTGCACATTGGCCAGGACATTCTTGTAAAAGAGATTAAACATCTGAATGCATTTATTTCCTGGTAAAAGGTTTTAATAAATACATATATATATATATCAGAATCAGAATCAGTTTATTATCGCCATGTCAATGAACGAGGTTCACAAACTAGGAATTTGCTTCGACATAAGGTGTGAATAGTAATAAAGTAAAATAAAGTAAAAATAAAGTAAAAAATTAAGTAAAAATGAGAACATTACATAAGACATAAGCCTGTGTACACCCACAAATAAAGTAAAATTAAAAACATAACATAACCATATGTACACCCATACAATAGAAAACAATAAAAGAAAGCTTAGAGAACAGTACAGATGGAGTATTCAGTTATAATACAGATGTAATGTGACCAAAGCAGAAATTATGAGGTAGCATTATGAGTGTTCAGGAGTCCAACAGCAGAGGGGAAGAAACTGTTCTTATGGCGGGAGGTTCTGGTCCGAATGGACCGAAGCCTCCTGCCTGAGGGGAGTGGTTCAAACAGTCCGTGAGCAGGGTGAGCAGGGTCAGCTGTGATCCGACCTGCTCGCCTCACAGTCCTGGAGACGTACAGGTCGTGGAGGGATGAAAGGCTGCAGCCGATCACCTTCTCAGCTGAGCGCACAACGCGCTGCAGTCTGAGTCTGTCCCTGGCAGTGGCCCCGACGTACCACACGTGATGGAGGAGCTGAGGATGGACTCGATGATGGCCGTGTAGAACTGCACCATCAGCTTGGCCGGCAGCTTGGCCTTCTTCAGCTGTCGCAGGAAGTACAGTCTCTGCTGGGCCTTCTTGTTGAGGGAGCTGATGGTCGGCTCCCACTTGAGGTCCTGGGTGATGGTGGTGCCGAGGAACCGATAAGAATTTGCAGTGGTGATGGGGGTATCATTACAGGTGAGGGGGGGCAGAGGGGCTGTAGCTTTCCTGAAATCCACAATCATCTCCACTGTCTTCTGGGCATTGAGTTCCAGGTTGTTGCTGCTGCACCAGGTCACCAGCCGGTCCACCTCCCTCCTGTATGCAGACTCATCACCGTCCGAGATGAGCCCGATGAGGGTGGTGTCATCTGCAAACTTAATAAGTTTCACAGAGTCATGGCTGGAGGTGCAGCAGTTGGTGTACAGGGAGAAAAGCAGGGGGGAAAGCACACAGCCCTGTGGAGATCCTGTGCTTATAGTCCGAGTGTCCGAGACAGCTCTCCCCAGCCGCACGCACTGACTCCGGTCTATATATATATATATATATATATATATATATATATATATATATATAT